GGTCTTCCAGCCGCTGGTCCACTCCCCAGATGGCCACAACAGCTGGAGCTGTGCTGACCTGATGCCAGAAGCCAGGAGCTTCTTCTGGGTCTCCCACATGGGTGCAGGGGCCCAGGGACTTGGGCCATCTTCTACTGCTTTCCCAGGCCATGGCAGAAAGCTGGATTGGAAGAAGAGCATCTGGGACTAGAACCGGCGCCCATATAGGATGCCAGCGCTTCAGGCCAGGGCTTTAACCCGCTGCGCCACACGCGGGCCCCTTGTGCCTTATTTCATACATTGGTTGAATACAGTGCTTGAGCCTCTGCTGTACCCTTTAGACATGGTTTTTGGTTTCAAGGAGTTCATGATCAAAAGGAGATGAACAGGCCGGCTTCGTGGCTCACTTGGCTAATCCTCCGCCTGTGGCGCTGGCACCCCGGGTTCTAGACCCAGTTGGGGCGCCGGATTCTGTCCCGGTTGCTCCTCTTCCAGTCCAGCTCTCTGCTGTGGCCAGGGAGTGCAGTGGAGGATGGCCCAAGTGCCTGGGCCCCTGCACCCGCATGGGAGACCAGGAGGAAGCACCTGGCTCCTGGCTTCGGATCGGCGCAGCACACCGACCATAGCAGCCATTTGGGGGTGAACCAACAGAAGGAAGACCTTTCTCTCTGTCTTTCTCTCTCTAACTCTGCCTGTCAAAAAAAAAAAAAAAAAAAAAAGGAGATGATCAAACAGGTAAGTGTAATGTCAATATGATGTAACCAGGGCCGATGCTGTAGCATAGTGGGTAAAGCCGCTGCCTGTGATGCCGGCATCCCATATGGGCGACGGTTTGAATCCTGGCTGCTCCACTTCTGATCCAGCTCTCTGCTATCGCTGGGAAAGCAGTGGAAGATGGCCAAGTCCTTGGGCCTCTTTACCCACATGGGAGACCCAGAAGAAGCTCCTGGCTCCTGGCTTCGGATCGGCATAGCTCTGACCGTTGCGGCCAACTGGGGAGTGAACCAACGGATGGAAGACTGATCTCTCTCTCTGCCTTTTGTTCTCTGTGTAACTGTGACTTTCAAATAAATAAATTTAAAAAATATGATATAAACTTCAGACTGTTCTCATGCTTTCTTTTCTCCCTTCTAATCTGTGCTCTACAGAGTCATTTCCTTAAAAGTCAATCAAATCAGGTATCACCCTGCCACAAACACGTTACCTTTCATTAACTTCTCACTGTGGCCTCAGCAGGAGGTTCGCAGCCCTGCCTCCCTCTGGAACCTCATCAGCTACCCCACCCCCACCCCGCGTGCCCCTCTTCTGCTGGGCTCAGCTCTCCAGTGCTCCCCGGCCAGATTTCTCGTCTGTCCCCTGTGCTCTTCCTGTGGCTCGCTCATCTTTCAGCTCTCAGCTTTTCCATCAGGTCCTTAGTGACAAACCACAGAATCCACTCCGGCTGGGGAAGAAAGATTCTTTACTGGCCGGTGCTGTGGCTCAATAGGCTAATCCTCCACCTTGCGGCGCCGGCACACCGGGTTCTAGTCCTGGTTGGGGCGCCGGATTCTGTCCCGGTTGCCCCTCTTCCGGGCCAGTTCTCTGCTGTGGCCTGGGAGTGCAGTGGAGGATGGCCCAAGTACTTGGGCCCTGCACCCACATGGGAGACCAGGATAAGTACCTGGCTCCTGGATCAGCGCCAGCCGCAGCACACCGGCCGCGGTGGCCATTGGGGGGTGAACCAACGGCAAAGGAAGACCTTTCTCTCTGTCTCTCTCTCTCTCTTCACTGTCCACTCTGCCTGTCAAAAAAGAAAAAAAAAAAAGATTCTTTACTAACACTGCTAGGTAACTCACAGAAAGGCAAAGCCAAATCCAGGTGTATCGTGCCCAGACCACCCTGAGACCACAGCTGCAACTTCCACAAATGCTGGCCATCACCAGTGTGGGGAGTCAGAGTTAGGCTCGCATCTCTGCAGCTTTGCTCACTTTCAGCGTGAAGTTTTGCATGGCTGTGTGTGCTTGCTGGGGCCTGGGTCACGGAGGCAAGTTTTCTCACGAGAAATCCCTCAGACATTCTACGGGTGGTCCGAAGTGCTGGACATTCCAGAAACATCACGTGAACACTGAATATCCTGTCAGCCCGGCATGAAAGGACTTCCCTGACAATCCTAAGGACATTCTCCCCGGCCCAGCCCCATTGTTCTTTCATTGTATGGTCATTTATTTTATGCACTTATCACAACATACATTGTTACAGGAAGAGTCTTTAAAAAAAATCATGAAAATGCATATTATGGAAAAACTGCATGGATTTCAAATGTCTTTTAAAGATTGATTGATTGATTTGAAAGGCAGGGTGATGGGGAGCTTCCCATCTGCTAGTTTCCTGGTTCACTCCCCAAATGGCTACAACAGCTAGAGGTGGTCCATGCCAAAGCCAGTGGCCCCGGAATTCCATCCTGGTCTCCCACATCCGGGACAGGGGTCCAGTTAGTTGGGCCGTCATCCACTGCCTGCCCAGACACATTAGCAGAGAACTGGATGGAGGCAGAGTAACCAGGACTTGAACTCGCACTCTGATAAGGATGCTGGCACTGCAAGCAGTCGCACCACAAGTTTTTTAATACCACCATAAGTTTATCTTTTAATTCCATTTTTCCACAAAATTTTTTATATATAAAGAGTTTTCGCAAATTTTTTTTCCATTTTATTTGAAAGGCAGAGAGACACAGAGTGATCTTCCATTTGCTGGTTCACTCTCCTAATTTCCACAACAGACAGAGCTGGGCCAGGCCAAAGTTAAGGGCCCAAAACTCAATCCGGGTCTCCCACCTGGTGGCAGTGACCCAAGTACTTGAGCCAACACCTGCTACTTCCCAGGTTGTGCATTAGCAGGAAACTCGATTGGAAATAGAGGGACTCTAACCATGCACTCCAATGTGGAGTACAGGCATCCCAAGTAGCTACTTAAGAGCTGCGTTGGGACCAGTATTGTGGTACAGTAGGTTAAGCTACCAATGGCAACACAAGCACCCCATATGAGCACCAGTGCAAGTCCCAGTACATCACTTTTGATCCAACTCCCTGCTAATATGTCTGGGAAAGCAATGGAAGATGGCCCAATATTTGGGCCCTGGCCACCCACATGGGAAACCAGGATAAAGTTTTGGGCTCCTGGCTTTAGCCTACTCCAGCCTGGGCCATTGGGGCCATTTGGGGAATGAACCAAATGATGGAAGGTGGATCTCCTCTCTTTTGCCTTTCAAATAAGTCTTTTTAAAAAAGAGTTATAAAGGCCCACCCCAAAACTTGTTGAAGATCCCTCCTATAAAACCCAGAGCAAGGGCTTTTGGCCTGGTGAAAGGTAGGAATGGAGAGTGCAGAGTAAAGGCTGGTTTGGAGAGGCATTGCAGAGGAGGTGAGACCACAGTAGAATCTTGAAGGGCAAGAATTAACCGGGCAGAGGAGGAGATGAGGGTGGAGAAGAGTATCGCAGGCAGATGTGCAGCACAAGTTCAGACAAGCGTCAGCATGGTGTGGGATGGCTAAAGGCAAAGCAGGAGAAGTGTCAGAACCTGAGGCTGGAGATACACAGGGTCCCATCTGCCGTTGTCACAAAGGCTAGGTTTCATCTTGTGGGAGACAGAACCAGTGTGGATAGAGTAGGGAGTCCTCCTCAGCTTTTCATTTTATAATTTTTATAAAGATTTTATTCACTTGAGATGTAAAGTTACAGAGAAAGGGAGAGACAGAGAGAAAGGACTTCCATTCGCTGGTTCACTCCCCAGATGGCCACAATGGCTGGAACTAGGCCCATCCAAAGCCAGGAGCTAGGAGCTTCTTCCAGGTCTCCCACGTGGGTGCAGGGGCCCAAGCACTTGGGCCATCTTCCACTGCTTTTCCAGGCCATCAGCAGGGAGCTGGATTGGAAGAGGAACAGCTAGTACAAGAACTGGCGCCCATGTGGGATGTGGCACCACAGACGGAGGCTTAGCCTACTATGCCACAGCGCTGGCCCCCATATTTTCATTTTAGAGACATCACCAGGTGACAGTGTGGAAGTTGGGTCTGAGAGGCAGAACTAAAAACCGACAGCTGTGAGTTTAAAAATAAGGTAGGCCTGAAACAGGACAGTAATACTCAGTAGGCATAAGTAGTAGGAATCATTTACAGAAGTGACTTCGCATCAGAACTGGTGATTGGATGAGGAAGGTGGGGAGGAATCTGGGAATTATGTATAAACTCTGGCTTAGATGACCTCTGGACTGGGGTAGAACAGGAGCAGTGGCCAGCGCCGCTGCTCAATAGGCTAATCCTCCACCTGTGGTGCCGGTACCCTGGGTTCTAGTCCCGGTTGGGGCACCGGATTCTGTCCTGGTTGCTCCTCTTCCAGTCCGGCTGTCTGTTATGGCCCGGGAGTGCAGTGGAGGATGGCCCAAGTGCTTGGGCCCTGCACCCACATGGGAGACCAGGAGAAGCACCTGGCTCCTGGCTTCGGATCAGCACGGTGCGCCAGCCGCAGCGCGCCAGCCATAGCAGCCATTGGGGGGTGAACCAACGGAAAAGGAAGACCTTTCTCTCTGTCTCTCTCACTGTCCACTCTGCCTGTCCAAAACAAAACAAAACAAAACAGAAAAACCCGGAGCAGTAAACAGAGTGGGGAGATGAGCAGTTCAGTTGTGTTCAAGTCAGAGTTTAGCACTTCAGCAGGTACTTGGCTTTATGACTCTGCAGCTTAATGCAAAGGCTGGGGTCAGAGATAGAGGCTGAGGAGGGAGCAGCATGGGGTGACGATGAGGTCCAGAGTGAGCTGGGAGGTGCACAGGGGGCCACAGCTGTTCCCGGAGTTGACACTCTCTACCCCTCCCACCTTCCCTGGGACTTCTCTTACCTCTACCCACTCCTTCTCCAAACACTGGGCAGGCTTTTCTTCCTCCAGGTAATGTGTTACTCCCCTGGAGTCTCCTGCTGGGCATCCATCAAGCCTTTATCTCCAGCTCGGTGTTCTCATGTAAGACTGAAACCCACATCAACAGCCACTTTTTTCCCAAGAGTTTTGTCAAGTTCTTTATTTTTAAAAAAGATGTATTTATTTGAAAGGCAGAGTCACACACACACACACCAGTTTTCCACATGCAGATTCAATCAACTCTCCAAATGCCCACAACAGCTGGACTGAAGCCAGGAGCCCAAAACTCCATCCAGATCTCCCACACCAGTGGCAGGGCCCAAGTGCTTTGGGCATCATCTGCTGCCTTTCCAAGTACATTAGCAGGAAGCTGGATCAGAAGCATAATGGCCAGGGCTCCCATGGGCACTCTGATATGGGATGCAGGTGTCCCAAGCTAGAGCTTAACTCACTGCACCACAACACCCACCTCTCCAGCCACTTTTTAAGAGGAAAGAGGAAGCCTGGGTGCGATGATTGTCCAGGGACAATGTGAAGGGTTTGTGCCCTGCTTTTCTGTTTACATTTAGGACTTGGCATTGTGAATTCATCTTGGCTATGACTTGTTTTTCTCAGAATGTCAAATTTGGAGATCAGAGATCAGAATCCAGACCTATAAATATTCACTACTGTGTGTGTGTGTGTGTGTGTGTGTAAAGACATACTGTATCCACATAACCCTTACATACCTTTCTCATGGATATTAACTCCCCCTGTACCTAATGTATTTTATTTTCCCACTTAAACCAAAATAGAAATTAAATCTTACTGATGCAGAATAAAAATAACTTCAGATCATGAAAGAGAAAAAACAGTTTACATGGATTCACTTTTTTAAAAAAACAAAAATCAGAACTCTTATTTTGTGAAAAAGGAATGAGTCTACTCTAGAAAGCCTGTGCTCACTTAATCACTATTTCAGTGATGAAGAGACTCAGCACTCCTAAGCCAACCACGCCATGACACACTGTGTATGTGCCAAGTTGGTTAAAACACAAAGCCAGCATTTTGACAAACTCATTTCAAAATTTTTTCACATCAACAACTTAAAACTCATTACAACAACACAACCTTCTGTTCCTGGAGAACCCAAAGAGTGATCCTGGACGTGGCTAGAAACAAAACACACAGAACCCCCTGGACATGGCCATGGGGGGTCGGAGCAATGCTTCGTGAGTTTGTGTGCAGTGACATGTTGACCACCAGAGTATACCAGGGTCCCCCAGCAGCTACAGTGCAGTTTTTAGTGTGTTTCTATTGTGCACTATTTCTTTGAACTTAATCCTTGGGATGATTCTTGAAGTTGGAGTCTTTAACATCCTGCAAAGTCTGCAGAGGAGATTAGGAAGCCTGCTGCCATTCCCAGCATGTTCACACATCTCATGCTTTTTCTGATAGGGTTAGAAATTATAAAATGCAAGGTCATGACCCCAGGGAGCTGCTCTGCCATGGCCCTTGGACCACCTGTGGCTTGTCTTTGCACGTTCAAGGGAGCCAGGCCACATATGAACAGCAGTAGATGGCATTACCGTGCACAGGGTCTCAAGGGAAGTTGCTGTTTTTTTCACTCAGCTCAGGCTCCTCAGAGTCTTAAGGACTCCTCTTGATTTGTATACACGCCCTCAGACCCACCCAGACAGATGAATAGAACGTGAACATTTCTGTCCTGGACTCTGGCAACAAACTTCACAAGTGCACATTTTCATATCAATTTGCCAATTCAAAACATCTCTCAAAAAAATTAGAAGAGTGGGGGCCGGTGCCATGGCACACTAGGATAATCCTCCACCTGCGGCGCCGGCATCCCATGTGGGTGCCGGGTTCTACTCCCAGCTGCTCCTCTTCCAGTCCAGCTCTCTGCTGTGGCCTGGGAAGGCAGTGGAGGATGGCCCAAATGCTTGGGCCCTGTACCCGCATGGGAGACCAGGAGAAGCACCTGGCTCCTGGCTTTGGATCAGCCCAGCTCCAGCTGTTGCAGCTATTTGGGGAGTGAACCAGCAGAAGGAAGACCTTTCTCTCTGTCTCTCTCACTGTCCGTAACTCTACCTGTCAAATAAATAAATAAAATCTTTAAATAAAGCGTAAAAAAAAAAAATAAGAGTTACTGCTTATAGCAGTCAGTTTTGGAATGGGAGTACTTGAGACACCTCTAGGAAACTGTACTGGTTCTCTCCCTAGGTTTTAACTTCCCTTTATCTGTGTATAACATCTGTATCATAGGCTAACTTCTTCTCATACTCCTCTTAATTTACTGTTATTACTAAAATACCTTCAAACCGCTTGTGTACAGGTACATACGTGTATTTGTTTGGTTAAGTCTTACGGAACTGCTAATACCTGACCACTGCCGACCTAAGAAAGTTTTTTTATAGGCTGTTTTTTCACATGCCTGAACCTAGTAAAATCTGAACTGCCATTTGCTGGCGCGCTCTCTCTATAGAAATAGATCTCTCTCTCTCTCTCTCTCGATCTCTCTCTCTCTCTCTCTCTCTCCTCCGTAGTACTTCCTGCTTTCCTTCAGCAGGGAAAATGAAAATGCTTACCCTATTCACCAGTTCTTAAGCAACCTTGCAAAATTGTGCTTGCAGACTGCTGTCGAAGTTCATGAAAATATTTAGAGGCATAGTAATCTCCACACATTTAGCATCTGACTGAAAAATCTGGCCCAAACTGGGCAAACTGTCTTTGTGACTATATCACTCACTACTTAACTGGAACAGCCTACCTTCCAAACGATGACTTAGGGCAGCTGCAATCAACAGGCCAAACAACACAATACCGGAGCGTTTTTCAGTCGGGAAGTCTAACACCTGTGTCCTCAAGAACATTCAGTCTTACACAGCACCTGAGACACCGCACCAAGCACCAAAGAGAGAGGTTCTACTTGCTTTCCAAAAACTTACCATTTTTCATGAGATATAAAAATATAAATAACAAGATACCAAGAGTTAAATTCCAAACCGGAGCAGAGGAAAATGTTAGTAGAAAACAGCACTTCCGGAGTTTTAAATCGATTTCCAACACTAAGGGCAAAAAGCCAAATCCAAATGTGCACTGAGCCTAAAGCCAGACTGACATGACAATCCAGTAAGTCCTCCTCCATGGTTCTGGATGCAAGAGGCCCCCTTACCGCCCCACGGACAGGGACTAGAGGTCCTCCAGGTCAGTGAGGTCCACGGCCACTTTCAAGAACAAGGTGTCCTCTTTGATGTAGGTGTTCTTGGCATTCTCCAAAGTGGAATGAGCCACAAAGCGGGGACACCCAGAGGCAATGTTCATCTCCCCGTCGGGTCTTTTAAAGCTGCTGCTGTTGGGGTCAGCCTTGAAGGTCTCCATAATGTGGTTTCTTTTGCCACTCTGGTCCAGCAGCATCAAGGTCACCCTCTGCCTGAATGGCCACTGCAGCAGCGAGTCAAACTCCCCTCGCATCACCACAAAGTACAGGGACAGGTGCGTCCCCTTCCCGGACCCGTCCCCATTCAGGTATGCTCTGGCACAGAGCCGGTAGCCGCAGCGGCTGGTGTAGAAGGGCTGGCTGAAGATGGACACAGTGTGCCCGTCCACCGCCTCCTTCTTCTTCATCTTGTAATCGGTCACCTTCCAGATGAGCTTTCCATTGTAGCAGGCACCCTCTAGCAGCTTAAATCGCTCTTCATTTTTATTCAGCTGTGCTTTGTGGATATTGATGTGGGCATCGTGTTTGCTAGTCTCCCCTTCTAAAACAACTACAAGAAAAAGCAAGATTCCGTAAGCCTGGAAATCGTCTTTTGGAATTTGCCCACGGTAGAATTGTATTACGTGAAGAGAACCAAGGACGCTCTGACGTCCTGAAGTTGAACTGAATTCAGTGTCCACTAACAGACCGTTTGTTAGCGCTACTGACTCAGGGGATATCATGACTTGGCAAACTGGTGTTGAGGAAGTCTCCCTGAGTACTGTCAAGCCGTAGCTCGCTCAAGTATAAAGACACACAGGGCTCACCTGGCGTGAACTGGCATGGTGAGGCCTACACCTTTTTTTTTCCTTAAGATTTATTCATTTATTTGAGAGGCAGAGTTACAGAAAGAGAGGGAGAAACAGAAAGAGAGGTCTTCCATCCACTGGTTCACTTCCCAAATGGCCACAATGGCCAAAACTGGGCTGACCCGAAGCCAGGAACCAGGAACTTCTTCTAGGTATCTCATGTGGGTACAGGGGCCAAGCACTTGGGCCATCTTCCACTGCTTTCCCAGGCCATAGCAGAGAGCTGGATTGGAAGAGGAGCAGCCGGGACACGAACCAGCGCCCATATGGGATGCCAGCGCCAGCCCTTGTTACTAGAATGCTTTTAAATAGCCAAACATGTATTTTTTCATATCTAAAATAAATTATCCCACCCCATCTCTCCCTTAGCTGTCTCATTGTTTTCTCACCCTCCTCATCCTTGGAATTTCCAGCCAGATTCCACCCCTTGGCTGTTTCTAGCCCTGGGTCAAGACCTCCAGTACTTTTGCCTGAGCAGCTAGAATCCCATGTTGCTCTTTCACAAACAGCAGATTCAACCATTATTTACCCTGGAGAGATGACTCTCTATTTGGCCAGGTGTTTGCTTCATCAACAAGTGCAGACAGCTGAGTCACTAGGAGAGCAGCAAAATGTCAGACTTACCTAATCTCTGATCGTTGGTTTCCAGCAGGGTTATTTTCTGTTTCACTGTATCAATGGCTTCCACCAAAGGTCTCAGGTCAAATTTATTTTGTTGCTGGTTAACCATCTGTAATAGCTGCCGCACCTGAGCTTCTAGCCAAGCGGACTTATCCATGTGACTAGCAAGGACCTTTCAGTACAAAATGGGTCAGCATGTTAAAAAACCAGGATTTTAGTAATGCGTTGAGATCAAATTTTTTCAACTCAAACATTTCAACATGTAATCATTGAATGGAATGAAAGCTACGTATCCAGGAGGGAGAGCACAGTGAGGATCATAGAGACCCTTTTCCTCCTCGACTCCTATCCCAGCTCCTGTTTCAAATCTTTGAACACGTCTTTACGTCGTGTTAACCTCTTGCTCAGTTTTCCCCCACTTGCATCTCTAACTTATCTTGATGGATCTGCTCTCTGGTTGGCTCTCCCCTTGCTTGATCATTTCCTTCTCTTCTTTGAAGCTGCTCTTCTTCTCCATTCCTGCCCTGCTGCAGGCACAGGCCCACCTGTTCTGGCCTGAGCAGGTGTGACAGGTGGTACAAAAGGCCCGAGGAAGGCCCAAACTTTCCACTGCTCTCTTAGGTGGAAGAGATTAAATACAAAGACTCCACCATGCCAAGTGCCTTCCCTGGTTTGTCTTTGTGTTAGAAAAATGTCGGAGTTGAGATATGACTTGCAAGATCAAGAAGTTCACAGGAAAGTGGATTAAAAGATACATTTATTTCAGTGCTAAAATTTTTGAAATCCACACTTAGCTTTTTCATAGTACACATTCCTATGAACTTTTTTGAAGATTCCTTATATGCATGGGTTTTCAAAATGTTCTGCACCAAAATAAACATATTTAATTTCATTTTTCATAAGCTTTTTGAAGTACTCTCATATGATGTTTTTCCTGTACATACACATGCAGCCATATATATATATATACATATACAATATATATACATACACACACACATACACACAGCTACAAGTTATATAATGTGCTGACCAACTATGGAAATTATATATGGCCTAAGTTATCTGGGCTAATCTAAATTTCAAATATGTTGTCTATACCACACATCTTGAAATCTTTGTCACTATAAATGTTATAATCATGTTACATTATTCATTAGACATGTATTTATGGTTACTTAACGTTCATGATTTACAAAGTAAGTTCTTGCTACATTTTAGTGTTTAAAGCATTTTCTTCCTAAAGCAATGAATAGTTTCACTTTTTTACTACAAAATGCAGCACTATAGATGCACTCAATGAATCTGAAATAAAGGGAGTAAAACTGAACCCTATATTAATTAAAACCCTGACTGCCATAAATTATACAAAAGTTTTAGATCATTGTTAAATTTACTGGCATTGCTAAGTGTACTAAGATTATTCTAGGAAATACATACCTAACTGTGTCAAGGTAAAGGACTGTAATCCATGCAGTGTACTCTCAAATGGTTCAGAAAGAACACATACTTACACACACACATACGTACACACACATGGAAAGGAGGTGTGGAGGGATGCAAATGATGAAGCAAATGGTACAAAAACACCGACAATGCGTGAATCTGGGCGAGATACACTGGTATTCTTTGCACCACCTTACTCTTGTAGCTTTTATATATATTTGAAGTTCTTTCCATTTTAAAAGTTCAAAGAAAAACTCCCACTGCCAAGTGCAAGCAGATCCTAGCTTCGACAAGAAAGGCCACTTCTCACCTGGATGTTGGAGAGGAAGCTTCCGTTTTTACCAAACAACTGTGCAAACTGCTTAAACTCCTTTTCAAATTTCTTCACAGTCTCTGCTAGCTGCTGGATTTTACTTTCTTTCTGCTCTAGGCTCTTACATAAGTCAGAAATCTAATAACAGAAATGTGAATGAAGAATGAGGTCATTGAAATGCATGCATGCAAATGAAACGATATTTGCAGGTAAGAAAATGTTTCTAGGGATATATTTCCAGGAAAATATTTGCAAGTAGATTCCTATAGAATTCTAGGAAAATATTTGCAGGTACACCCAAACACGTAAGTTCCCATCAGCCTTTTCTAAGATGTATTTATTTATTTGAAAGGCAGAGTTACAGAAATAGAGAGAGAGAATCTTCCATTTGCTGACTCATTCCCCAAATGGCCACAGTGGCCAGAGCTGGGCCGATCCAAAGCCAGGAGCCAGGAGTTTCTTCTGTGTCTCCTGCATCTGTGCAGGGGCCCAAGTACTTAGACCATGTGTTGTTGCTTTCCTGGGTGCATTAGCAGGGAGCTGGATCGGAACTGGAGCAGCCAGGACTTGAACCAGCACCCATATGGGAAGCCGGTGCCCCAAGTGGCAGCCTTATCTGCTGTACCACAATGCCAGCCCCATCATCAGCCTTTTCTATACCTAACCCACTATGAATGTTCCTCTAATCACAGTGACACCACTTGACTGAATTATTGCACTGGTTCTCATTCATTCATATGCACTTGTTAAACAAGCACCAAGCACTGACCAGCACACCACATCAGATGACATGTGAAAATTTGCTGAAATAGCTAATGTACCCTTACACCTATTAGCTCTTTTGTTCCTCAAAGAACCCCCTGAGTTGGGTGTGAATAGGAATCCACTTCTCAAATGAGGCATCAGTTTAAGTACTGTGCCCAGCACACAAGCTAGCAGGTGATAGGCACAACACGTGGGTGGTGTGTTTACTCAGAGTTTGTAACCCATTTGAGGGGAACAGCCAGAAAACTAGGAGTGAGGCTACACTACTATTCCCACATCCGTTCAGTCTGTAATACCCAGTGCTCCTAACTCCCAACATGCAAACAAAAACCTTTCACGTCCCTTTCTCATTCCATCTCGTCTCGTTTTAGTGCGAGTCCCAGTCTCCCTTATTTCCCACCTGGGCAGCAACGACAGCTCCCTACTCTGCCCTGTTAGATCCAGTCCTGCGCTACCCTTTCTAGCCCTGACACACAGCAGCACAGGGGCTCCACAGGGGCTGGAGCTGGCATGGACCCCACAGTCCACTCTAATCCCAGCAACTGGATGCTTTATTAGTATTTGTTAAATGAATGAATACAAGAATGCTCTCCCTGGGGCCAGTGCTGTGGTGCAGTGGGTTAAAGCCCCAGCCTGCAGCTGAGCTGGCATTTCATATGGGCGCTGGTTTGAATCCTGGCTGCTCCACTTCCGATCCAGCTCTCAGCTGTGACCTGGGAAAACAGTAGAAGATGGCCCAAGTCCTTGGCCCCTGCACCTGGGTGGAAGACTTGAAAGAAGCTCCTGGCTCCTGGCTTCAGATCAGCTCAGCTCTGGCTGTTACAGTCACTTGGGGAATGAACCAGCTGATGGAAGACTTCTCTTTCTGGCTCTACCTCTCTAACTCTGTCCTTCAAATAAGATAAATCTTAAAAAAAAAAAAAAAAATGCTCTCCCTGCCTTGAGTCTTGTTCTCCTCTGTTCACCCTCCATACCGTGAGCACAATAATAACACAAGACCAGTGTGGCCTCGGGCTGCCTCCCCTGCTTAGCCGTCTCGAGTGGCTTTTCTTCACGGTGAGGCCCTGGCTGCCCTTTCAGCCTCATGCCCACTCACAGCTCCCGTGTGCCCTGCCAGCCAGACCCTGCTCCCTCTTCCACTTCCCTCTTCATCTCGCAGCCACCACCTTGCGAGCCTCCACTCCACATCACGTCCCCTTACTGGCACCCACCACTCAGGTCCACGACCCTCTGTCCAGACTCCAGTGTGTAACGCAGCCTCAGCCCCCTTCTAACCCACTCTGCCTATTGTTTTTCTTCACTTCTTGTTTTAGTCTTTTTCCTCTATCGAAGTGTTTTCTGAGGCTGCCTCTCCCTTTATTCTTTATTCCCAGAGCCTGTCATGGTGCCTGGCATAGACCGGGGCATTTGGTATTTTTTCCATGAATGCAAAAATGACTGCAATAACCACTTGCTCTCTGGCTCCAGGATTCTCTAAGTAGACCTCTAGCACCAACTTCCACCTAACCACCCAACCAAAGGCTAACTCCCTCTCTCCCCATTCTGCCCTCATCTCCACCCTGCTCCTCCCTCCTCTCTCTGCCCTCACCTCTACCCTGCTCATGATCTTATAGTGCCCATATCAGTAGCAGTCCCATGCTCTCTGCCTTCCAAACTTACTGCATGTCATCACTTTTTAAAAATGTATTTATTTAAAAGCAGAATGAGAGAGAGATCTCTCCGCTGATTCACTCCTCAAAAGGCCACAATGCCCAGGGCTGGGCCAGGTGGAAGTCAGGGGCCGGAAACCCCATCTGAGGGCCCCACTCGAGCAGCAGGCTCTCAGGCACTTGAGCCATCATCTGCTGCTTCCCAGGCGCATCAGCAGAGCTCTGGATGGAAGCCAGGTAGCCTGGACTCATTGGCGCTCTGATGTGGGATGCAGGTGTCACAAGCAGCGGCTTAACCCACTCTGCCACAGCTGCGTGTCATTTCAACTTCAGAATGTCCCACGAAGACCCTCTCCCTGACCTGGCAAGGGTGGCGCCTTAGCCCCCAGCACCACCACCTCCAGCATCTCGCTTCCTGAAAGGCTCATTACGTGCCTGGCCCTGGGCTGGGCTACGTTATTTCTGACTCTCTCTGCAGCCCCATTTACAAATGAGGGAACTGGGGAAGTGAGCAGGAAGGAGCCTGCCGGCACTTAGAGCAGAGCGTCCCTCTCGCCAGGGCCGTGCTACCACCAGCTCTCTTCCTTCCCGCCAAGCGGCTAGCTGGGTAGGGAGCTTCCTCCTTACAGGCCTCCGGGGCTCCCTCTTACTCAAAACACTGGCTCAACTTCTGGCCTTTAAATCCTCCCCGAAACAAGCCATAGTGTAAATAAATAAAATAACTGAACGTACAGTGTTCAAAATTCTTTGTTTTAAAGATTTACTTATTTATTTGGAAGTCAGAGTTATAGAAAGGAAGAGACAGGGGCCAGTGCTGTGGCGCAGCAGGTTAACGCCCTGACCTGAAGTGCCAGCATTCCATACGGGCGCCAGTTCGAGACCCGGCTGCTCCACTTCCAATCCAGCTCTCTGCTTGCTATGGCCTGGGAAAGCAGTAGAAGATAGTCCAAGTCCTTGGGCCCCTGTACCTGTGTGGGAGACCCAGAAGAAGCTCCTGGCTCCTGGCTTCGGATCAGCACAGCTCCAGCTGTTGCAGTCAATTGGGGAGTGAGCCATCGGATGGAAGACCTCTCTCTCTGCCTCTCCTCTCTCTGTGTAACTCTGACTTTCAAATAAATAAATAAATCTTACAAACAAAAGAATATAAGTAAGTGCCGGCGCCGCAGCTCACTAGGCTAATCCTCTGCCTGCGGCGCCGGCACACTGGGTTCTAGTCCCGGTTGGGGCACCGAATTCTGTCCTGGTTGCCCCTCTTCCAGTCCAGCTCTCTGCTGTGGCCCGGGAGTGCAGTGGAGGATGGCCCGAGTGCTTGGGCCCTGCACCTACATGGGAGGCCAGGAGAAGCACCTGGCTCCTGGTTTCGGATCGGTGCGGTGCGCCGGCCACAGCGCACCAGCTGTAGTGGCCACTGGGGAGTGAACCAACAGAAAAGGGAGACCTTTCTCTCTGTCTCTCTCACAGTCCACTCTGCCTGTCAAAAAAAAAAAAAAAAGGAAGAGACAAGAGATAGGCAGAGAGAGAGAGAGAGAGATATCAATCTTCCAACCACTGGTTCACTTCCCAGATGGCTGCAGTGGCCGGGGCTGGAGCCAGGAGCTTCTTCCAGGTCTCCCACGCGGGTGCAGGGGCTCAAGCACTTGGGCCGTCTTCTACTGTTTTTCCCAGGCCAGTAGCAGGGAGCTGGATCAGAGGTAGAGCAGCAAGGACACGGACCGGCACCCATATGGAGTGCCAGGGCCTTATCCACTATACCACAGCGCCGGCCCTAATGTTCAAAACTTCTTGACTCATACGCAAGACCACTGCACCCTGGCCCCTCCACCCCAGGCTCCTGCTGTGGCTGGTGCTCCATTCATGCTAAAATCCCACTTCCTTGAATGCTCAGTGTCTCGTGCCTCCCTGTCGTGGCACAAGCTCCCCCTCCTGGTGCTCCCCTTGCCCGACACTTTCACTGACAAGTCTTCTTCCTTTAAGACACAGCTTGGATGTAGTCCCTTGTGTGGCGGCCCTTCCACGCCCGGAGCACCCTGCTGTAGGCGCGGTGCCCCAGGCTGCGCTACACATGTCCTGGGAGGCACAGCAACGCATCCATGCACATTTCTGTGGGTTCTTCAAGGGTAGAAACTGTGTCTCCTTGACTCAGCGTCCCTAGCAACAAACAGTACCTGACATAGGGTAGGCTTTTACTAAACGAACAGATGCTCAAACAGGCCAACTGGTAGACAGAGAGCCTGGGCCCAGCTCCTCGGCAGCATGCCTTCAAACAGCCACGCAGGGCAGGCAAGCAAATCCCAGCCAGCCACTGTCCAAACCCCCGAGGACTCACCTGCTCTTCCAGCCGGAAGTTCTTTTCCAACACCAGAAGCATGTGCTCCCGTAAGGCCGAGTGCTCATGCTCCTGCAAGCTGCCCCGCTTCTCCTGCAGAACCGACAGAGAAAAGCTGCGGCCATGGCCCCAGAATGCCGGAAGTCCTGGGACAGCCGCTGACGCACACCCTCAACACCATCGCTGCTTCTGTAGTTTCAATGTGCACCCGTCTCTGGGTGGGTTCCGGGAAGAACGACTCCAGCCAGGTCCCCAGGTCCCTTTGCCAGCCTGAGGGTTCTTTTTTTTTTTTTTTCAGGATTTATTTATTTATTTGAAAGAGTAACACAGAGAGAGGAGAGGCAGAGAGAGAGAGGTCTTCCATCCGATGGTTCATTCCCCAATTGGCCACAACGGCTGGAGCTGCGCTGATCTGAAGCCAGGAGCCAGGAACTTCTTCTGGGTCTCCCACATGGGTGCAGGCGCCCAAGGACTTGGGTCATTTTCTACTGCTTTCCCAGGCCATAGCAGAGAGCTGGATTGGAAGTGGAGCAGCCGGGACTAGAACTGGCGCCCATATGGGCCGGCGCTTCAGGCCAGGGCGTTAATCCACTGTGTCACAGCGCCGCCCCCAAGCCTGAGGGTTCTACGGCAGCTGTGAGACCATGTCAGACGCACAGGAGTCTCAGGGCTGATCCCGCCTTTGTCCCGAGAGTGCATGTACAGGGCTGCACATGGTGTTCTCATCATCTCAGCTCCGCCCACGTAAACGCCATCTCCCTGCCAGCTTGCCTCTGGGCCACTTTGAAGTCTAAGCTTGTGCTGCCCCCTAGGAAGCATGCGTCTATGCTGCCCTTATTGCTAGCCACCCTGCTGTCATGAGCGGAAGGTGGGTAACCTGATTTTGACTTCAGCCTATGCAAATCTGTTGCTTTCAAAATCATAGGATTGTGGTGGCACACCGGCTGAAGCCGCCTCCTGGGGTGCCCGCAGCCCATGTCGGAGTCCCTGGGATCAGGTCCTGCCTCTGCTTCTGATCCAGCTCCCGGCTGATGTACGCCCTGGCAGGCTCGAGTACTCGCGACCGTGCTATCTACCTGGGAGACTTGGACAGAGTTCCGGGCTCCTGGCTTCAGCCTGGCCCAGCCCTGGCTGTTGTGGGCATTTGGGGAATGAACAAGAAATGGAAGATCTTTGTCTCTGTCTCTATCTCGCCCCCATTTCCCGTCACTCTGTTTTTAACACCAATTTTAAAGAAAAAATCATTGAATATATTTGCAAGAAGAAGTGGTTACTTTTTTCCTAGTCATTAAGCTATTGTATGATAGTAAATAGGATTAAATATGGTGAGCACAACTGGTTGACCTTGGGTAAAGCAGATCAGCCTCCACATCTGGTTGGGCCTCATCTAATTAGCGGAAGGCCCTAAGAGCAAAGACTAAAGTTTTTTGAAGACGCACTCTTCCTCAAGACCGCAGCACAGAGAAGCTGCCGTCGTGGGGAGCAGGCTAAGCTGTGGCCTGTGACACATCCCAGCATCCCATGCTGGAGCACCGGTTCAAGTCCCAGTCACTCCGTTTGTAATCCAGTCTCCTGCTAAAGCACCTGGGAAGGCAGCAGATGACGGCCCAAGTACCTGAACCCTTGCCACCCATGTAGACCAGGATGAAGTTCCTGGTTCCTGGCTTCAGGTTGGCCCAGCTCCAGCCATTTGGGCAGTGAACGAGCAGATGGAAGATTTCTTTCTTTCTTTCTCTCTCTCTCATTCGCATTCCAATAAATGAATCCATTTTTAAAAGAAATTCTGCAACATAAAGTCTTCAGCATGAATTCCCAGATTGCTGGTTTGCCTTGCAGGTTTTGGAGTTGCCAGCACCCACAACTGCATGACCCAGCTCCTTACGATAAATATTTCTCTTACTCTCTGTCTCTCTCTTTCAATAGATAGATAAATAAACATATACTTATCTTATAGATACACACTATTGGCTTTGTTCCCCTGGGGGGTTCTGACAGTGACAGCTACACACTAGGGTTACACAATCCCAGCCTTCAAAGTGCTCAGAACCACAGGGCCTCCTTCATCCTGAATGAGGTGAACTCACGCAGTGGGATGCAGAGCAGAACCAAAGGGCTTTCCTACCTTCACAGTGCAGCCATACTGCTTAAAAGGACAGTCTTGCTCGGCCTCGGGGCACACAGCCAGGTGGCGGTTCACCTACAGAACGGACAACCTTGAGCTACAGAAATTCATCACCAAGCCTCCAACCGCCTGGTCTACAGCAGCAAGCGGGAGGAAAGGAGAGACCGGGAGGGGAGAAGCTGGCGAGAAAGAGCTGGGCTGGGACCGGGCAGTGCTGGCAGGGGAAGGGAAGGAAGGGGAAGACAGACACAGTTATCCCGGGGCTTTTGCCTGCGGGAATCCATCGAACACACCACGCTGCTTACGCAAACTTTCTGTCTGACATACAATCTATAGGCAGCATTATTTACAGTCACCTCGGTTCTTGGAATAATCTGCAAACACTTGTTGGGACACGACACCGGGTACTCAGGACACAAGTTTTCCTCGTGATTCTGAAACAGAAAGCGTGGTAAAACAAAGCCCTAGGCGCCCTGCCCCGGCGGCCCCTCAACAGGAAGTCACCGTCCCATTCCACGAGCGGTGAAAGACGCTGCTTGCTGGGTGTAGATGAATTCAACAGAAAGACTGAATTTTCCGATTACTCCCGAAGAGGTCAGAGGGCAAAGGGCACTGGTCTCAGAAGGTGGCAGGCTGCGAGTGCCCCGCGCGGCTCCCCTGGTACGTGGGGAAGGCACACATGCTCTCTTCCTAGGCTGACATTCGCCCATCTCTCTGGTGGGATCCAGGAGCCCAGGGCGCCCGGCATCGCTCCCTCCACACCCGCAGCAGGTGTGCAAACAATATTTCTGCCAATGACAACTGAACACAACTCCTCTCAAAAGAAGGCCTTCTAACTGCTATTTTAGACTTGATTCTGCATAAAAACAGGAGTGGATGTGTGTTTCTGGTGTCCCTCCTGCCTGACCGGGACCCCTCAGGCAGGATTCGGCCCCCTCCAGATGAGGGCCCTTTTTACCTGAAGATCCATGACCACCACATCCTTTTTGCAATACAGGCATTTTTCCTCTCGAAACTGGCAGTAGGCACTCAGATGCTCGTTCAGATCTCTCCGCAGCACTGGCTCCTGACAGCTGTCATGGGAACACTGCACAACCTGGAACAGGCACTGCTGGAGGTGCTCCTGCAACAGAAGCGCAGGCCGGTGGCACTGAGCAGGGCAGGGCGCACCTGCTGGTGAGAGAAGCCGCGCAGGCCTGCTCAGACCGGAGGCCGTCATGGCCAGCCCTGCCTGGGCTGGAAGGAGGAACCAGGGGCAGGCCGATCGGGGAGCAGGGACACATGTCAAGTTTGTTTTAGCAATGCTCAGTAACGATCCAGGAATGCGCTCAGGTCAGTTCTTGGATACTCGCCTTGGGCTTTGCCATGAACCTCGCAGTTCCAGCACTCTCCATCCCCACCCCCAGCACCAAGCACAGCAGTGAGGGTCAAAGACAGGGCAGAGGGGAGAAGCACAAGGAAGAAGGGCACTTCCAAACTCGAGGAGAGGGAGGAGGCCGGCTGTAGAGAGGGAAGGAGGGGCAGTACAGGCTCACAGGGGACCGCTCAGCAGAACGCTAGCGAACCTAGCTCCCGGCGGTCGCTTTCACCGAGAGGTGCAGAGCCGCAGCCCAGGGGCCAGATCGCGGCTGCTGCTGGCTTTTTGTAACAAGAGCTTTACTGGAGATCAGTCCCGCCTGAGCGCTCGCAGCGCTTTCCCTCCGACGTGTAGGGGACCGCACGGCTTGCAAAGCCTACCGTGTTCACCGGCTGGCTCTTAACAGAAACGCTTTGCGGACCTCATCTCTGCAGGAAGAGAGAGCAGGCAGTTTCCCTACAGAGAGATGAATCCGAAAGCCATCCTCCCGCGCTCTGGCCTGCGAAGCACAGGAGCGCACACCTTCTCTCAATTTGCTGATGTCACTCCTGTACTCTCGCCCACTCAACCTTCCTTGCAGCTCTGCTCCTATAACATCCTACACGCCACCCTGCAAGGGGTGGAGGTGGGGGCCAGGCATGAAGGGAAACAGAAGGGGAAAAAAAAGGGTGGTGGAAGGGGACCAGCCCTGCTCCCCAGAAGCCCCGCCCCGTCTCCACAGTGACCCAGGGTCCATGTGAGACCTCACTTCCTTTCCAGGCCCTAGAGCAACAAGGTTGGAAATGAGACCCTGCTCTCAGCGGGAGAATCCAAAACCATGTCATGTGAGACCACAAGAAGTTGCCAGACCTCCCAAGAAATCCCTGGGTTAGCAGGGAAATCATGTCCATGGTTACTCCCTGGGTGCCTGGGGGATGTGGAGGCAGAAGAGAGAGGAAAGTCTGACTCATCTGAAAACCGCGTGGGCAGCCGGGAAAATCTCAGCAGCCTCCCAGCCATTCCCTGGAAGCCAGCACCGCCTGAGTCTTATTCACTCCCTGTGCGACCAGACCTGAGAGGGGCCTGCTTCCCACTCACCCCCGCTTAGCCACCTCCCCCCGGGCTGCAGGCGGCCTCTGAAGCTTCGACTGAAAAGAACCCAACACCCCCTTCGCCAACACTTCCCCTGCACCTGTTTGCAGACCTTCACCTTGAAACCACATCCTCTGCCCTCAGGAGCTGTGTGAGATCAGAAACCCCGCAGGCCAGGGCCCGCCCCAGAGGCTGCTGGAAACACCTAGCACAGCGCCAGCCGCGGGGAGCAGCGAGCGCTTTCAGGGAGGCAGCCTTGCCACTGCGCCTTTCTGCAGCCAGCCCCCCGCCCCACCCCAATCCACCAGCTTCCGGAAAATGCCGTGTCCTTCTGCCCAGTGTGCCCGACCCTCCAATCCTCGCTTTTGGCTCAAGGTCCCTGACTCACAGCTGAAGGTCTAGGGTGCACGGCATGGCCTCCAGGTGCTCCGTCCAGAAGCCCCTCTCCACCCACACCCCGGCTCCTGTGTACTGCGCTGTACCACCAGGCTGGGCACCCCCTCCTCAAGCCGCGGGCACGCAGGGGAAAATGGCACAGGCAAAAACAGGTCATGAGCAACACCAACCTGGTATCGTCCCAGAATAACCTTGGCGTTGCATCCGGGAGCATTTTTGCAATATACGTGTAAGTTGAGGACTTCCCTTTTGCAGCAATTGTCCTTAAACACCTGAAAGATAAAACGTGCCAGCTCTCACACACTCGAAGGCTTGACAGCAGTGCCACTGCTATTATTAGTTTGGTCCTCAAGTACATCTCAAAAGTCAGTGGAAAATTCCACAGTGGCTGGAAATATCACATTCACCACTGCCCTGAAAGAAAAGGCTGCCTCGGGCAAGCCAGCAAACACGCGAGCGCGGGAGCTCAACACCAGCACGGCCGGCCGGCAGTTGGGAACTCTCGTGGTGACCTTGACCTCACACACTCAAAGGTCAAGCCAAGGATGCTGCGAAATCATCAGAAAGTGTCACTGAAGCTGTCACGGTGCATATTTATGGGGTACGGTGGGACTTTTCAATAAGCGGGTATAAGGTAAATTGATCGAATCAGGTTTTTAAAGTCAAGTTTTTGTATTTTGAAGTAGCTTAAGAGACATAAGAAATTGCAAAAATAGAAGAGTTCCTGTGTACTCTTCTTTTGACTTTTTCCAACCATTTAACAATGGTAAAAACTATTTTCTTGGCACACAGGCCATACAAAGGCAGCTGGTAGGCTGGATTTGTCCCAAGATTGTAGTGTGCCACCCCTGGTCTCGCGGGTGGGACCGATGCTGAGTCAGCACAGCCCTTTGGCCGGTATTTGCCAAACGCATCGTAAGGAGTACAGAGAAGGAGCCGAGACATCAGACTGGGTGCTCAGGGAAGGCTTCCTGGAAGAGGGGACGCTTGAACTTTCTGAAACAGAATTTTAGAGCAGAAAAGGGAACTGAAAGGAAAGTTTCAAGGGCTTAGAAAATGGTTTCTTAGATACAACATCGAAAAAACAAGCAACCAAGAAAAGAAAAAAAATAGACACACTGGACTTATCACCAAAATGAAAAACTTTCATGTTTCAAAGGGCATCATCCAGAAAGTGAAGAAAACCCACAGAAGGGGGGAAATACATGCAAATCACATCACTGATGAAAGACTTGTTGACGGAACACACACAGAATTCTGACAATTGAGGACAAATAATCCAATTTTAAACATAGGTGAAGGGAGGTGGCATTTGGCCTAGCAGTTCAGGCTCCCAGGCCCACGTCACAGTGCCTGGGTTACAAACGGGCTCTAGCTCCTGAGCTTCCTGCCAATGCTGACCCTGGTGGGCAGTGGTGATGGCTCACATAGCTGGGTTCCTGTTGAAACAACACCTTGACAGTAGGGACTCCTTTCTAGAGCACCCGAGATTCCATCTTGACAAAGCACCCCCCACCGTGAGACTCAGGTCTGAAACTAACTATGGGGGCTGGTGCTATGGCGTTGCGGGTAAAGCTGCCGCCTACAGCACTGGCATCCCATATGGGCGCTGGGACTCGAACCAGCTGCTCCACTTCCGATCCAGCTCTCTGCTATGGCCTGGGAAAGCAGTGGAAGATGGCCCAAGTGCTTGGGTCCCTGCACCCTGGTGGGAGACCCTGAGGAAGCTCCTGGCTTCGGATTGGCACAGCTCCAGCTGTTGCAACCAACTGGGGAGTGAACCAGCGGATGGAAGACCTCTCTCTGTCTCTACCTATCCTCTCTGTGTAACTCTAACTTTCAAAGTAAATAAATCAATTTTTTTTAAAAAAAGAAACTAACTATGGTCGAAAACTCAGACAATAACAGGACACTGCATCCACCTGGCAGGACACACACTCCCTAGCAGGAACACTCAAGCTTCAAACAGACAGGCTGCACCTGGATGAAGGTTAAGGTTGCCAACTGTCTGTGTCCCACATGTGATTTAGGTTGATACCTGGACTAATGTCAAGACTGTAATGCCTGTTGTCAAGGTTGTAATTGACATTGGTTTCGCATAGTCCTTAGGTTAGCCTGACCCCAGTAACTGTGTACCCCCCCCATCCTAGCAACCAGCTACTCCCCCTCCCCTGTGGTTTTTCCTTTATAAACCCTGTTGCTTTGAGCTTTGGAGCCAAGAGTCCTCTAGGGCACGAGCCTGCTCTCCACGGCTGGCAATAAAGCACCGTCAAATTTCATCAATGTGTGGTGCTCCTCTGTTCGCACTCGCTCGGGCACAACATTGTCACCTATGCAGGAGACTTGGGCTGGGTTCCTGGGTCCCCGCCTTTGTCTTCAGCCTGGCCTAGCCCCAGCCATTGCTGGTGTTTAGGGGATGAACCAGCAGATAGGGGCTCGCTCTAGCTCTCAGATAAATGAAAAATTAAAAAGAAATCTGAAAAAGACAAAGGAATTAAAATAGGCATTTCCAAAAGCGGGATCTATAATTAGCCAATAGCACATGAAAAGATACTCCATATCCTCAGGGAACTCCAAGTCCAAACCACAGAGACATAGCACCTCACACCCACTAGGAAGGTTTGATTGAAAAGGCTCAGGGTAACCATTTCTGACAAGGATCTGGAGAGACGAGAACCTTCCGACGCTGCAGGTCAGGAGGTGAGACGGTGCAGCTGTTTGGAACACAGCCTGGTAGTGCTCAGAATGTGAAACACAGAGCTGCTGTATGTCCCCGGAGTGCCACTCCTAGGACTCTACCCAAGAAGAATAAAAATGTGGGTCCACACGGAAACTCACGCGTGAATATTCACAATGGCCCCAAAGTGGACACAAGTGTGCCCAGATGTGTGCTCATGAGTGGATAAACCAAATGTCATCTATCTGTGCAAGGCATAGGGCTGGGCCATGACAAGGAATGACACGCCGGTACATCCTAGGGCACAGATGAACTCCGAAAACACGCTAAGTCCAAGGACGCAGGCACACGAGGCCACGTGCTGTACGGCTCCATTATATGGAACGTTCAGAACAGGCGAGTCCACAGACGCAGAATCTGGCTGAGTGGTCGCCAGGGCCGGGGAGGGGGCAGATACAGGAAGCGACACAGGAAGCGACAATACAGGTGTGGGGTTCCTTCCTGGGGTGGGGACGATATTCTGAAATCAGATGGCGTGACAGCTGGACCCCTCCGTGGATCTGTCCTGTGGGACTGTACACTTTAAAAGGTGAGTTGTATATATGTGAATCATATCTCAGTATTATTATGAGACATAATAATAACAAAGGGGACCGTTCAGGAGGAACCTGATAAGACGTGAGCTCCGGGGAGCAGGGTGCTGAGTCTCTCCCTAGAGCTCAGGGTGGCTGCAGCGAGTGTGAGAAGGGGTTGGCGGGCAGGATGGCAGAACTGGGGTGGGGTGGGGGGCGGTGGTCAGCAGACCCCCGCAAGCCTCTCTCACACAGGGGAGGGAGCAGGGTCTGCGCTGACCCCACAGCACAGGAACACAGACTCCAGGGAAGGTCCCCTCAACCACTCTCCTGCTCCAACCCCGACGCTGGATGCTGGCTTCTCCCCCATCACCCAGAGGTGCTAACCCAGAGGTTCTTACCTCCTGAGATCGGATCACCTCCTTATCCACAGGGCAGATCGGCACTGTGTTCAGTTCTCTGGAGAGAAAAAAACAGAGTCGAGCCAGAGTTGGGTGTTGAACTTCAACAGCCGAGCTGTCTGGGGCTTTCCTGACCCCGTCCTTGCCCGTGCTGCTCACGCCACCCATGCGGCACCCCCAGCCCCTCCCCCTGCCCCTCCCCAGGCTTCCAGTGTGTCTGCAGCACCCCATTCATTCTCCAGGCCACAAACACTGGGCACACAGACAGTGTTCAATGCCCCAGGCTTTGCCCTAACCAGTCTCCCTCACTGGCCAGGGTCATTCTAGAGAGCAGGCCCCGGGTGCTGCTGCACGCTGTCCCTCTAGGTCTTCACCTCCGTACAGGGAAGCTCGGCTGAGTGAGGAGCCGGGTACCCCAGGAGCCCGGTACAGGGGCACACACTTAAACGGAGAAGCCCGGCAGGCGACAACAGCTGCCCTACTGCCTCCGTACAGAAAGCCCACTTCCACAGATCTCCTGGCTTCCTCCTCCCTCAACCTGGCATGACCCGGGTTTTGCAGCTGCCCGGGATTGGAGAGCATAGGTGCACCAAGTCCCTTCTAGGTGCAATGGCACTTCTGCCTCATGGCAAGGCAAGGTCAGCACAGCCACAACACAGACACCGTGCGCTCCAGGCCCTTCCCAACAGCCAGTTCCCAGGTGTCCAGCTGTGTTCTCCCATGCAAAACAGCTTAGTGTGAATTTTAAGAAAAAAAAAAAAGTGTATATCTACAGATGGGTGGCACTTTTGAGGCTCTCGTAGAGGGGCCCTGGGAGAGCCCTTCCTCCTATCTGTGGTTCTGTGGCCAACCACAGCCATTCCCAAGACCAGGATGACAGTTAAGTGGCCACGGCTGCCATGTTCAGTGCCAGGCACACCTCCATCTGGCTCCGGCCTGTGGTGGCTGGAGCCGCAGGCCCTGCCCACTCACCTCAGGGACAGGATGCAGTGCTGGCAGAAGCGGTGGCCACAACCCGTCTGGTGGGGGTTGTGCAACACCGAGTGGCAGAAGGCACATTTGTAGCGCTCCTCCAGCTGCTCCACAAACCGGTACTCGGCGTTGGGCTCAAAGTCCAAGGAAATGGAGCTGCCTGAATTCTGCCGGATGAAACCCAAGTGGATGCCCCCTGGCTCCTCCGAGTAAGCCATCCTGGGGGAGGAGAAGGGCAGTTAAGTGCACAAGCAACCACAGCCAGCAGGGGTCATGATTTCTTGCCCAAGCAGCGAACATCACCCACATGGTTGTTCTGTTGACTCTGCAGCAGCAACAACCTCCTGCCATTAGAGGGCGCCCTCAGAGGCCAGATGGCTTTGGGGTGCTAGGAGAGGAGCCAGACTCTGCTTCTACAGCTCTGAGGCCATCAGCCTTTCACCGGATGCTAAACTCTCCTGTTGGCTTGGGCATTGTATGACTGTACAAGGTGTAGCCAGATGTTAACCATATTACAGGCAAACAGGGTTTTCTTCCACTCAACTGGCAGAACTGAAACAAGTGTTTACTTAGCATTCTTCAGAAGCAAGAAACTTACACACTTCACTGCCCCCCCAACACACAGGCTTACACATATGTATGGGTACTTCAAAAAGTTCATGGAAAACACTGACTTGAAAGATGTTCATTTTGGTGCAAAACTGTTTTGAAATCCATGCATGGTTTTTTCATGCTACACATTTTCCATGGACATCACTCCGACACAGGCTGAGCTCTGTGTCCCTCACGTGTTTCATGTGGACGTTGTAGCCCTGATGTCGTGCAATGGAAAGGAGACTTGGGGAGGTGACTTGGTCATACCGCGGGAGCCCTCATGCGTGGGATTCGTGCCCTGCTAAGGGGATTCTAGAGCACTTTCTCTCTTCAGCCCTTGTAACAATCCAGAACCCGGCCACGATCTGGAACTTCCAGCTTCCATTACTGTGGAAAATCAGTTTCTCTTGTTTATAAGCTCCCCGCTCTATGGTGCTCGCCGTAGCAGTGTGAATTGACTAAGACGAGCACCAAGCCACATCATTTCTCACCTGAGCTAAGCGACAGCCTGCTACTACTTCCTCCCCCAACTCATTCTCCACACTATACAGACAGGCAGGGTGATACAGGGGCTCCTCAAAAACTTTGTAGGAAAATGTGACTAAAGGTTAGGTGTGTTTTTTTTTTTTAAGTTTTATTTAATTTATTTATTTGAAAGGCAAAGTGACAGAGAGAGAGAGGAAGAGAGAGCGAGCCAGGGATCTCCAACCCACTGGTTCATTTCCCAAATGGCTACAAAAGCTGCGGCTGGACCAGGCCAAAGCCAGCAGCCAGGAGCATCTGGGTGTCCCCCATGGGCAGCAGAGGCCCAAGGACCTGAGGCGCCTTCTGCTGCTTTCTCGGGCACAGTCGGTAGGGGGTGGAGGGGAAGCAGGCAGCAAGGACTTGAAACCAGGCTCGGAGGTGGGGTGTGGGCGTCAAGGGCGGCGGTCTAACCTGCTGCCCTGCTGCGCCACAACACTGGGCCCAACAGGTATGATTCATGATCCCCTCCCTCCCCCTCCCCTCTGAGCGGCTGGGCGGTGAGGGAAAAGTACACCCCCACCCCACCCCTGTGCAGCACGAGAGCTCTCCTGCCTCGAGGCTTCAGCCCGGGCCCGGAGCCACTGCCTCCCACAGAGACTGTCCCCCACCCTCTTCCAGACCATGAACTCACATGGCATTTCCGGTGTCCTATCCCCAGGGAAGCCTGCTCCTCTCCTCAGGTCTAGAGAGAGTCCCGCCCACCCACCAGGGCTGCAAAGCTTGTAGGTGGTCGGCCCCCCAGAGGGGCTTGGGGACACAGGGGGGGCAATCTTTTTATTAGATGATGCTGAATTTCTGCACATGAATGCATTACCCATTCAACACTAAGTATATTAAAACGAAAACAAAACATCCATAGAACGAGCTTCCTTTCCTAAGGAGCCACACTTGCTGGAAACATGCATTCGCGCTGTGATCTGGTTCATCTCTGTGTCCCCTGGTGACACCTGGCTAGCAGCTGCCCTTGCCCGTCACTGATGCCCAGCCCCTAGCGCTGCTCCTGGCATGCAGAACAACTCGGTCGTTCGTGGCGTTCATGTGAGCTAACAGGCTGCTGGGAAAACTCAGCAGTGCAGCTGTGACTCGTTCTTAACCTTTCTTCAACAAGGACTTCTGCCTCCCTTGGCAAAGGGAAGACGACTCTGGACCTTCATACCGCCCGATTTCCAGGCATCCCAGCACCCTCTGAGCCCACGGCTGGTCCTCAGGCACTGCACAGCCGCACCGCCGCTGCAGGATGCCGCTCCGTCGGGGCACAGTGCAGGGAGTAGTGCTTTCAGAGCGTCTGGCCAGTGGTCAAGAGACAGGAGGCCTCCGGGTGGTCCCTGGGGGTGGCGTCTACTGCAGGCTGGGGTGCAGGAAGTGTGGCCCTCCACTCACTCTCCTTGGCTTCCTTTTAAGAACCCTCATGAGCCTCCTGCAGCTGACCAGGTGAAGCCCTGCAGGAGATGCACAAGGCGCCTGCCGGCCTCCCCCTGCCCCCGCCATGAGCTCGGGCTGGCATCTCTCCCTGGCGGAGTGGGCTGAGTCTGCAGTGTGGCCTGGGGGCAGGGCACAGGGCAAACTGGCTCCTGTCAGCAAACAAGCTTTTGCCTGGCAGACGAGGGGAATTTTTTTTTTTAATTCTGGGGTTTGAGACCAAAGCCCCACTTTTTCCCCTTCTGCGTGTGCTTCCTGTCGAACCTCAAGGGTGGCAGGTGAGTGGTGGCAGTTCCCCTCTAGCACGGTCGGGCCTCGGGATTTAACAGAACATTAAAATCTGAAGATGAAGAGGCACAGCACAACCCTGACAAGCAAGGCTCAGCTTCCTCTCCGAGAACGAAGGGATCCATTTCCAACCGTCCCAGCCTGCCCTGGCTCCCTCCTCACCTCTCTGTGCTCCTCTGCGAGTCCCTCCTGAGACCAGGCTCCCATCTGCGTCCCATAGCGTGGAAGTCTGGGCTCAGAGAAGCATGCACACGACACGCGCGAGCAGGATGCACAGAACCAAACCCAGGCTGCCCCCCCACCCCCATTCTATCCTCTTCTACCGCACACAGCTGCTGGGCTCTTCTCTCCTCTCTCCCCCCTCCACTCCCCATCTCTCTCTCCCCCCTCCCCATCTCTTTCCTTCTCTCTCCCCCCTCCCATCTCTTTCCCCCTCTCTCTCCCTATCTCTCAACCCCACCCCCACCCCCCCACCCCTGGTCTCCCTGTCTTTTCCCAGCAACAGCAGATCTGGGGTCTCAGGACTCAAGATGCTGGCTGTGGTTTGAACCCATGTCTTCCCCCACCTCCCCTAGTCCTTTGCTGGAACCTAAGAGGTGGGGCTTTAAGGAGAGGACGACATCGTGAGGGTGGAACCTTCACGGGTGGGGCTGTGGGAATCCTGTGCCGTCCCAGGACACCCAGACACGGCGGCAAGGTGCCACCCTGGGAGCAGAGAGCAGCCCTCACCAGACACCCAGCCCCTGCTTCCCAGACCCTAGAGCGCTCAGCAGCGAGTTTCACAGACCCAGTGTGGTGTTTTGTTACAGCAACACAAATAAACGGAGACAACATCCTTAAACACTGACGACTCAGACACCCAGGACTGAAGAGCAAGGCTGGGGCGCGGACACTTTCCAACTTCCAAAGTTATCGCAGGGGCTGGCATTGCGCCGCAGCAGGCGAACCTGCCGCCTGCGACCCCCACATCCCTCATGAGCGCCAGTTTGAGTCCTGGCTGCTCCCTGCTGATGCACCTGGGAAAGCAGTGGAAGGTGGCTCCAGTCCTTGGGCCCCTGCCTCCCAAGTGAGAGACCTGGATGGAGATCAAGTCTCCTGGCTTCAGCCTGCCCAGCCCCAGCTGTTGCAGCCATTTGGGGAGTGAACCACCAGATGGAAGGTCTCCCTCTCCCTCCCCTTCCCTCTTTCTGTAATGCTGCCTTTCAAAGAAACACATCTTTAAACAAAAAGTTATTATAAAGCCACCGTGATCGGGGGTGGGTGTTGCAGCACAGCAGGTTAAGCTGTGCTTGAAAAGCCAGCATCCTACACTGGAGAGCCTGTTTTAGTCCTGGCAGCTCCACTTCCAATCCAGCTTCCTGTTAACATGCCTGGGGAAGCAGAAGATGGCCCCAAAATGCTTAGGCCCCTGCCACCCAAGTCGGAGGTCTGGATGGAGTTCCAGGTTCCTGGTTTCTACTTGGCCCAGCTGGGGCCGTTGCAGCCATTTGAGGAGAGCAGTAGATGGAAGATCTCAATCTGTAATACGGCCTTTCAAATAAATACATCTTTAAAAAACACAAACAAGGAACTCCAAGAGCTTTTGTTCATGTGGGTTCTATCTATCAGCATGCGTCACATTTGAGAGCAAAACAGAAGAGTGTAAACATTTATTCATTTGAAGATCAAAAGCCAATATGGTGACATAAATATTTTTATGGAAAACAACCATTTTCCAAAAGAACAACAGATCGGAGGAGAGGCCGTTTCACACGTCTGCCCCCTCTTCCGTGCCTGACCTGACGGAAGGGCGCTCCTGCACGTGGTGTGCGCAGTCACAGGGCAGGCAGCTTCTGTGTCACCGTGAGGGGAGAGTACAGCGGGAAACCGCACCTTCGAACTGAGCCCAACACAGCTGTCACCAAGCACCAGCCCTGAAGGGGTGCTGAAGCCCCAGGCAGCAGAGGAGGAGCTACAGCTAGTAAACCCTGAACCACCTGCTGTGCCGGGGGAAGCTGCAGTTTCTGTGGTTAAATGGCCCCAGCCTGGCTGGTTTAACGCAGGCGGTCCCTGCGCGCCAGCTGGGAAGAGACGCACACAGCTAGCTCTAGACGGAACCTGCCTGGCGTAGGTAGCGCTGTGTACGTGCTTTCCCAATCAGAGCTGCCCCGGGCTCCCGGAGGCTCACTCTGGGGACCTCTGTGCTGCTGACAGCCCGTGGAGGCCTCGGGACTGACGACCTGTGCGTCCTGGCCCACCCTGGGTGTGTCTTGTCACCACCGCGATGCTGGCCTCGCTCGAATCTGTTGCAGCCTCCTCCAGTACTTCATTTCTGTCTCATTATACATCTTAGGGGACAGGCACTTAGCCTGGTGGTCAAGACACTCGCATCAGAGAGCCTGGGTTCAAGTCCC